CTGTGCATACAACGAGATACTGTATGATTGAACAGAAGAAGCGAAGACAACAGACATCGGCACGCGGAAGATCGTCGGCAGCGTCAGATGGGTATAAGAAACAGTAGCAGAGGCAGAAGAGAAAAAAGCGCCAGCCATGCAATCACAGTCTACCAAAACGAACCAAGACAGTAATGCGTAAGAGTCTTTTCTTCACATGGGAAATGAAGGGAAATAGAAAACAATTATGCTGAGATGTCCATTTCATCTGCGCCAGCCTGATTCTTAGGCCTGTCATTTATAGCCAGCCCACTAATCCCGCTCTGGCAGCCTGGGCAATTGTGCACAATTTCATGAGCAAAAAGATCACAATCAATACAGAAGTGATTTCTGCAAACTGTACATTCATAGCGGCTGCTGACACTCATTCCTTTTGTCTGGGACTCCGTAGCTTGCCACTGATCTTTGGGAGGAACGGTAGGGAAATATATGCCACAGGCAAAGCATGTCAAACTGCGTGAGGCATGTTGCCAGGGAACCTCAACCCAGTTCATGAGTGGAAATAGGTGATGATAAGATCGCGCTAGATGCGTCGACAGAATAAGTGTAAGACCGCAAGAGGGGCATTCAGCAGGGAGCCCACAGACTTTGCTATTGCATCGCGAACATAAGTAACCCCCGCAAGAAGGTTTAGAATGACATGCACAGAGAGAGGGACAAGTTTCGACAGTACGGGACGGAAACCCCATCATCAAAAGGGAGCTTGCGGCTTGTTTTTGAGAATATGTCACAGGCGGTGTTGTTACATCCATCATTAATTCACGAAAGTGCTGTTCGTTGAGTGCCACACCATACGTGGTATCGTCACCCCCATTGGTCCTCGAGCAGAGTTCACGGCAAATAGCCACCTGAGCGGCCAAACCTGCAATCCTGACACGGATCTTGTCATTTATCAACGTGGTAATCGTCTGATGTATATCGCCCGGATCGGAGGAAAGGAGAGATCCAAAGATCACAAATACTTCTCGGGTTCCATGACTAGGAGTATGACTATCGACGTCAGGTCAGTTTTACGAGTAGAACGTGTGCCGGCTCTGGTGTAGAAGGACTCACAATAAAGCACCACGTGCCATTTCAAGCCCATTCTGCAAGCTAGGAAGTCCTTTGGGGTCATGATCCCTCAAAGCCTGTATGGCACTGATGTGCTCCGTGGGGTTGCCACTCATATCACTGACCCGGATTGCAAGGCCATCCCTCAAGCCAAGCACGCCAAGTTGGGATATGGGATTCTGCTCGAAAAATTCCCGCACAAATTCTTGTGCGTATCGCAGGGTAAGAAGATATCGTGTCGGCCTCAGATCTTTCTCGGCCATGGACTGGGACAAATCCAGAACCAAGATGAGATGCCGGATAATACCACGTTGCAATGGTGTTGTATCTCTCAAAAGTCTAAAAGGCGGTAATAATTATGATGCTGCTCAGCTCAACGGCCCTTAAAATGTATACGGAGTCTCAATTCTGAGCGAAGCTTACCTCTTCCTTTTCCCGGCTTCTAAAAGTCCTTCAACAGTAGAGCTGATTGTGCCATCAGCACCCTCGACCAAGGTCTCCCAAGTCCTCGAAACCTCCCATTCAGCACCCCCGCGCTGTTTTCTCCGCTTTGGACGGGATACAGGCGCTGTTTCCCGGGCATCTCGGAAACCTTTGACATCGTTTTCTTCGTCGGACACTTCCCCAACGTACTCTTCGTCCGAATCAGCCATGTTCTCCTCGAAGAGTCGAGCGGAGTAACTGTGTCAGTCTGTAAGTGTGTGATAATGATAGGAGCATTGAGTCAATCAACAGCAATCTACATGAGACTTGAAAAATTGGCTAACAGTGCTCATCACCATGCATCAAGTCCTAATGAAAGCTTGGGTTATCGGTGATTTGCTCCAAGAAGAGTGGGCCGAAGAGCTAAAAGTACCTAGGTACGGAGTACCTAAGGTAGGGTTCTGGCCGACTGCCCGGACTCCAGCATAGCTCTGTATTGAAAATTTCAGCTCTATTTCCATCTCTGACATCCACTATGGAACAGTGGAATTTTGTCAGGTAAAGGTTTGTTGTATTCTTACACTGGATACCACCTAATAATGCCCATTTCACCTTACACACTAGGCTAAGGTACTATCTATGTACCTTACCTACTTCCAGTAATTTGTAGCTAGGTACCTTATAGTAGTAGTAAGGTAAGGTAGAGCTGTGGAACTTCCTATTTCAATAATATAATGCACTCTGTACTTACAATGAATACCTAAAGGTACCTAGTTACTATAGCCCTAACCTAAGGTACCTTTCCCCTCCAATATTATTAGGTCGGTAAATAGCTGATTAGGTACAGTGCCGTGGACATATGGATAGGTACAGATGGCCTGTACGGAGTATTGCTTCGTACTTCCTCTTTTGATGGGTTTTGCTAGTGTCCGGTTTTCTTGCTACTTACTAGGTACCCGACTTTGTGTCTAGGTAGCAGTGGGGTGCAAAAAGTATTCGACCACCCCTACCTTACCGCCTACTATTCTGCCAGCAGAATACCACCAAACGCGTAGTTATCCGTTACTTACCTAGATATCAACAACCAAAATGGGCCGTAAAGGCAAAGAATTGACCCCTCAATTACGCTCACGAATCTGTGAGTTAAAGAGCATTGGATGGAGCTATTCCAAGATTAAAGCCAAGCATC